CCAACCTTCCCCCCCACACACACACACACACCATGGTGCTATGGGGCCGCCCCTGCCCCCGTCCCCCCCCGGGGTAGTGTGAGATGTGAAATGTGGCTTCGTGCACTTTGTCCCCGTAGATGTCCCCGTAGGCGAGGGGGGGCCGCTCCCGTCGCTCATTAAAACTGTTCTCACCGCAGCGCTGTCTGATGGGAGGGGGGACGGAGGGGCGGCACCGACGCAGCACTGCAATGCCACCGTCGGCATGTGGGGGCGGAGGGCATGGGGACACGAATGGGGATATGGCATGGAGATACAGGGATGTGGGGACATGGAGATAAGGGGGCGAAAATAAGGACATGGGGACATGGGAGTGTGGGGACATGGGGACACAAATGGGGACATGGCATGGGGACACAGGGAGGTGGGACATGAGGACGCAGAAATGAGGACATGGGGACATGGAGATGGGGACATGGGGACACAAATGGGGACATAGCATGGGGATACAAAGAAGTGGGGATATGGGGATTGAGAAATCAGACATGGGGACACAGGGAGGTGGGAACATGGGGACACAAATGGGGATATGGAGACACAGGGACATGGAGACAGAGATGGGGACATGGGAGTATGGGGACATGGGACACAAATGGGGACATGGCATGGGGACACAGGGAGGAGGGGACATGGGGACTCAGAAATGAGGACATGGAGACATGGAGATGGGGACACAGATGTGGAGACACAAAGGCACAAGGATGTGGGGATGTAGGGACACAGAGCTGGGGGACATGGGGACACAAATGGGAACGTGACATGGGGACAATGGAGACAGGGATGAGGACATGGGGAGGTGGGGACACAGGGAAGTGGGGACATGGGGTCGTAGAAATGGAGACATAGGGACACGAGGACATGGAGATGGGGACATGGGACTCGTCCCAGAAAGGGTCACGTCGCTCCCAGAAAGTGAGCAAGGAGGACCCGGGGAATACAGGCCGGTGAGTCTCACCTCTGTGCCTGGGAAGATCATGGAACAGATCCTCCTGGATGACATGCTTGATCACATGAGGAATGGACATGTGATCTGAGACAGCCAGCACGGCTTCACCAGAGGAAGGTGATGCTTGAGCAATCTGGTGGCCTTCTATGATGGAGTGATGGCATTGGTGGACAAGGGAAAGGCGACCGATGTCATTTACCTCCATTTGAGCAAGGCCTTTGACATGGTCCCCCTCCACATCCTTATCTCCAAATTGGAGGGATGTGGATTTGATGGGTGGACCACTCGATGGATAAGAAACTGGTTGAAAGGCCGCAGACAGAGGGTGGTCATCAATGGCTCCATGTCCAGGTGGAGGCTGGTAACGAGCGGCGTCCCCCAGGGGTCTGTGTTGGGACCGGTGCTCTTTGACACCTTCATCAATGAACACAGAATCAAGAGCACCCTCAGCAAGTTTGCTGACGACACCAAGCTGAGCGGTGCGGTTGGAAGGATGGGATGCCATGCAGAGGGAGCTCAAGAAGCTGGAAAGGTGGACCAGGGTGAACCTGGTGAGGTTCAACACGGCAAAGTGCAAGGTTTTGCACTTGGGCAGAGGAATCCCAGGCATCCCCACAGACTGGAAGGAGCGGTCCTTGAGAGCAGCCCTGCAGAGAAGGACCTGGGGGTCCTGATGGATGAAAAACTCAACATGAGCCAGCAGTGCGCTCTTGCAGCTCAGAAAGCAAATGGAATCCTGGGCTCCATCAGAAGAGGGGTGGCCAACAGGGACAGGGAGGTGATTGTCCCCATCTACTCTGCTCTTGTGAGGCCCCATCTGGAGTACTGCGTCCAGGTCTGGAACCCCCAGTACAAGAAAGACAGGGAGCTGCTGGAGAGGGTCCAGAGGAGCCACAAAGATGATTGGGGGACTGGAGCACCTCCCCTACAAAGACAGGCTGAGGGAGCTGGGCTTGTTCAGCCTGGAGAAAAGAAGGCTGCAGTGACCTCATTGTAGTCTTTCAGTACCTAAAGGGAGCCTACAAACATGAGGAGAATCGACTCTTTGAAAGGGGAGATAACAGCAGGACAAGGGGAAATGGTTTGAAGTTGAGGGAGGGAAGCTTTAGGTTGGATGTCAGGGGAAGTTCTTTACAGAGAGAGTGGTGAGGTGCTGGAACAGCTGCCCAGAGAGGCTGTGGATGCCCCGTCCATCCCTGAAGGTGTTCAAGGCCAGGTTGGATGGGGCCCTGGGCAGCCTGGGCTGCTATGAAATGGGGAGGTTGGTGGCCCTGCATGTGGCAGGGGGTTGGAGATTCATCATCCTTGAGGTCTTTTCCAACCCTGGCCATTCTGTGATTCTGTGAGATGGGGACATGGAGATGTGGGGACACGGGGAAGTGGGGACACGGGGATATGGGAGTGTAGAGACACAGGGACATGGGGACATGAAAACACGGGGATATGGGGACGTGAGGACAAAGGGACACGAAGATGGGGACACGGTATTGTGGGGACGCACACATGTGGGACCCCCACAAGAACATGGGGATACGAGGGCACAGAGAGATGGGGATAAAAGAACACGGGGGTGCGGGGAGCCGGGCCTTGAGGACAGGGACGAGGGGACGCGGGGAGGTACCCGCACCGCCCCCCGGCGGATCCTCGGAGGCTCCCACAGTCCTCCACCACCGCCGGCCGCCAGGGGGCGCCATGCCGGAAGCGGCGACGGAGGTAAGTGGGCGGTCCCTCCGCCCGTTGCCGTGACGACGCGGGGCGCGGTCAGCGTGGCTCCACCCCGCAGCGGGGAAAGCGACGGCAGCGCATGCGCAGTGCCCGCCCGGTGCCGGCCCGGACCCCAGAGCGCTGCGGGCGGCGGAGAGCGGCGGGGGCTGCCCGAGCGGTGAGCGGGGAGCGGGAGGGGAGGGGGAGCGGGGCGGGGAGAGGGGGAGATGGCGCGGCGACGGGGAGCGAGGGGGGGGCCGGCACGGCTTCGTCCGGGGATGACAGGGAGGGGACGGGGGGTCCGAACGGCCCTCCGGGATGGAGCGGCCCTGCGGGGGGGGAGTGAGGGGGGGGGGCGGCCGTTGTGGAGCTGCCGGGCGGCGGCGTTGGGGCTCCGGTACGGCGGTGGCACAGGGCTGGCATAGCGGTGGCACGGCGCGTCCCGCATCCCTGCCATCCCTGCCATCCCTGCCATCCCTGCCATCCCTGCCATCCCTGCCATCCCTGCCATCCCTGCCATCCCTGCCATCCCGCATCCATCCCACACCTTCCCTGCATCCATCCCGCACCCCCCCCGCACGCACCTTCCCACCAATCCCGCCCCGCACCCCCGCCTCCCGTTCCCGTCCCGCCGCTCTCCCCGACGTTTTTTTTTGCGCTGTGCCACAATTGAAATGCAGAGCTAAGCTGCCGGCCTGCCCGCCCCGTGGCGCGGCTGCGCTGCCGCAGGGCCGCGGGGATGGGGGGGGAGCGGAGCCGCGGAACGGGACGTGAGCTGTGCTCTGCTCTGCTCTGCTCTGCTCCGGGAGTCCCCAATTCTGAGATCCTTCTGCTGCCCCCCCCGAGTTCCTGCGGTCCCCGGTCCTGGGCTCTGCCACCTTCTGGGGTCTCGCTGAGTGAGGGATCCCTCCTGCCGGGATCTTGAGGCGTCGGCTGTCCTCCCCCCTCTCCCAGCTCCTGAGGTCCCCGATTCTGGGGTCTCCGATCCTGACGTCTTTATGCTCCTGGGATCCCTCTAGTCCTGGGGGTCCCCTCCTGACTGTGGGGTTCTCCTGACTCCTGGGTTTCCCTCTGTTCCTGGAGTCCCCCCCGGCTCCTGAAGTCCGTGCTGCTGCGGTCCCCCTGATCGTGGCATCCCTCCTCCTGGGGTCTTCTATCCTCCAATGCTGAGGACCTCCCAATCCCGGGGGTTCCCCCTACTCTTGGGGTCTCTCCTCCCAGGATCCCCGCTCCTCCCCCAGCCGCAGGGTTTCCCCTTTCCCCCCATTTTGGCGTGGGCTCAGCGCCGTACCGCCAGCCTCCAAATCCCGTCGCCCGGAGGATGCCGGTTGACAGATACCGCGGCACGGCGGCGGTTCCCACCCCGGGCTGGCACGCGTGGCACCACGTCTGGCACGGGGTTGACCTGGATTCGCCGCCGCGGTTGCGAGCGAAAGTCCTTGTCTCACTACAGCGAGGAGACGCCGAGCTCCCCCCGATGCTGTTTGAGCCCCACGTCGGGCATCCCGGGGCCGCGGTGCCCACAGGGCTGTCCCCATCTCGCACCGTGTGCCAGCGGCACGGCGGCACCGCAGTGCGTGGCTCAGCGCCGCGCATGACTCAGCTCCGCTCCCCCCGCGCCAGCAGCTCCGGGCCGGGGGGACCCAGAAGGTTGGCTGCACCCCGGCTGATGGGGAGGAGACGGCTCTGCTCCCCCTCCCCTCTCCTCCCCCCTCCTATCCAGAGCGTGGCTCGCAGCTGGCTCCTAAGCCGTGATCTCTGATGTGCGCCGCAGAGTGAAAGCGGATTAATGCCTATTGATGGGGGCTTGGGGGCTGCGGGGGGAGGAACGGACCCCCGCGACACCCCCAGTGCAGTAGGGTCGCTTCCCAACGCCTTTGGCCACAACCGGTGGGTTGATTGCTGTGTGCCCAATCCCCAGCATTGGGTGTGGGGTGAAAGTGCAGCACCGTGGCCCTTCCCCCCCACCCCGAGTGCTGTGCCCTGGGGCTGGGGGCTGCGCCCTGCCCCACATCCCCTCGCCATCTGGGCACGGGATCTCTTGGCAGATGTTGCCCCTGTAAGCCCTGCTCCAGTGTACCCTGGGCAGATTAGGATGCAATCGAGGGCTGGGCCGGGCCGGGGGGGCTGTAATCTGCTTATGGGGTTGGTGGCACACCCACAGCCCCCCAGCACCATGTCTGTGGTTGGGGCATCGTGATGGTACCCGGCTGCATAATGCATCTTCTGCCCCACAGCCGTGCCCCGTGGGTGGGACATCCCAATGGGGAGGGTCACATCCTGCTCCCCCTCCCCCACAGCCACGCCTCCCCCCCCAGAGGGGCTCCCAGTGGCACGGGGCTGCATCCTGCCCCACAGCCATGGCCCCCAGAGGGGAGGGTCTCAGTGGCACTGGGCTGCATCCTGTCGCATAGCTGCGCCCACAGAAGACAGAGGTCCCAATGGCACCAGCTCAGTACTCAGCAGGGAGAGTAACATCCTGCCCCAGAGAGAGGGATCTCCATGGGAAGGACCGCATCTTGCCCCACAGCCGTTCCTGATGCACACAGCGGGGTTCCTGATGGGAAAGGCTGCTTCCTGCCCCACAGCCGTGCCCTACGGAAGGCTGGGGGGATCCCACATGACAACCCATCTCTCTGCAGCTGGGGCATGGCCGTCAATGTGTACTCCACCTCGGTGACCAGCGAGAACCTGAGCCGCCATGACATGCTGGCCTGGGTCAACGACTCCCTGCAGCTCAACTACACCAAGATCGAGCAGCTCTGCTCAGGTGGGGATGTGCCACCACCCTGTGGTGTCCCCCTGGGGGTGTCACAGCCACCTGACATGTTTCCCTCCTGTCCCCCCCCAGGGGCTGCCTACTGCCAGTTCATGGACATGCTGTTTCCCGGCTGCGTGCACCTGCGGAAGGTGAAGTTCCAGGCCAAACTGGAGCACGAGTACATCCACAACTTCAAAGTGTTGCAGGCCGCCTTCAAGAAGATGGGAGTGGATAAGGTGGGTCCTGGGGTGGGGTGGGGGGGGGGCACACCAGGGGGTCCTAGGTGGGGAGGGCAGCCCCCAGCCCGTATGTCCCCACAGATCATCGCAGTGGAGAGGCTGGTGAAGGGAAAGTTCCAGGACAACTTTGAGTTCATCCAATGGTTCAAGAAGTTCTTCGATGCCAACTACGACGGGAAGGAATACAACCCACTGCTGGCACGGCAGGGCCAGGACGTGGCGCCTGCCCCTAACCCAGGTGATCACAGCTTCAACAAACCCAAGAAACTCATTGGCACTGCAGGTAATGCCCTGGACCCCCGCCTCCTGCGCCCCACATTGCTCTCACTGCGCTCAGTGTGCACCCCTGGCGTGCCCCCACCCTGCCCTGCCTGCGCTCTGCTGCCTGCAGCCATCGGGAACAGGCAGGGGACACCGCAGTAGGATGGGGACAGTGCCACAACCCAGGGCTGTGCTGTAACCCAGGGGCGGTGCCACAACTTAGGGACAGTGCCACGACCTGGGAACGGTGCCTTGACCCCGTGGATAAGTGCCTGCTGGCTGCCTGCATGGCAAAGCCCCCCCCTCGGTCACAAGCACCACCTGCACAGGGGCTGCGAGGGGCATGGGGAGGGCTCTGCCTGGGGAAACTGAGGCACGGGGGCAGCTCAGCCCCTCAGCCTGCTGCCACCGGGTGGGGGTTCCCCGGTATTAACGCTGCTCTCCGGCCCCCCCCAAGTCCCACAGAGGACCTCCCCCACGGGCCCCAAGAACACGCAGCACCCGGCACGCCTGGGCAACGTCCCCACTGGCATCCTGCGGAAAAACTCACCTGCCACCCGCAACGGGGGCCCCGATGCTGACGCACAGATCTTGGAGCTCAACCAGCAGGTACACTGGGGACACGGGGAGCACAGAATGAGGGGAGCCCCCCCAGTCAGTGCTAACGTCCCCATCCGCCTGCAGCTGATGGATCTGAAGCTGACGGTGGACGGCTTGGAGAAGGAGCGGGATTTCTACTTCAGCAAACTGCGGGACATCGAACTCATCTGCCAGGAGCACGAGAACGAGAACAGCCCCATCATCAGCGGCATCGTCAGCGTGCTCTACGCCACCGAGGTGCGTGCCCTGCGTGCCCTGCTCCGCAGCCCCGGGGCCGGGCTCTCTGTTCATCGAGTCCCGGTGCTGACGGTGCCGTGTCCCCCGCAGGAGGGCTTTGCCCCGCCGGAGGACGACGAGCTGGAGGAGCAGCAAACGGAGGAGCAGGACGAGTACTGACCCGCCGCGCCCCACCCCACGTCCGACCCCTCCATAGACATTGAGGCCCGAGTCCCCGCACCCCACCGCCATCGCAGCTCCGTGGGACGATGCCGATGTCCACAATAAACCAAACACCGCACAGCGGAGCGGGGCCGTGCGTCTGCCGGGGGGGACGCGCCCCAGCCCCACCCTCGCCCCTTTCACCCCATATTTATTTCAGTTCCTCTCCGCCCCCACTGTGCCATGGCTTTGGGACGGGGTGGGGGGCAGCCCCGGTGCCTCCACCCTGAGTCGGGGGGTCCGCGCCGGGCCCGCAGCCCTGAAAGGAGGAGGAGGAGGAGGAGGAGGAGGAGGAGAAGGAAGGCCCGGCCCGGTGGGGGCAGCGCGGGTCCGGGCGCTGTGAGGGGGTGGGGGGGGTACCGAGAGCGGCCCGGCCCGGCCTTCCCCCTCGCTGCATCGCTTTCAGCGCCGTCACCGCGGTTGCACAGCGCGCATCTGTGTTCGGTTTTATTTAAAATAAACTTCGCGTGGTACAACGCCGTGCGCCCGCATAACGCCGCGTTACCAGCCTCCCGCAGCACCGCCTACTGCGGGAGACAGGGCGGAAGTGGGGCACGGCGGAAGTAGCCGAAGCGGAAGAGGGGCAAGGCTACGCAGAGCGGAGACTGTGCGCGGGGAATGGTCGTTAGTGGGTGGGAATATGTAAATGAACACGCGCGCGGCATGACGGGAGCGAACCAAACCAGGTAACCGGACGCGAGTGAAGCCGCGTAGAATCTGCGTGGGCCGCGGCGCGGAGCTTGAAAAGGGGCGCGGAGTTGGGCGGGGTGCCGGGTGGGGAGAGTGGCTGGGGAAGGCGGTCGCCGTGCGATGCGGGCTGGTGGCGGGGCGTGGGGAGCGGGGCGTTGGAGGAGCAAAGCATACTTACCTGGCAGGGGAGACACCATGATCAGGCAGGTGGTTTTCCCAGGGCGAGGCTCATCCCCTGCACTCCGGGTGTGCTGACCCCTGCGATTTCCCCAAATGCGGGAAACTCGACTGCATAATTTGTGGTAGTGGGGGACTGCGTTCGCGCTCTCCCCTGGTCTTTCTGGTTTAACAGCAGAACTCGCCTGTTTCGCAGCGCTCTGTCGCTCCTCTTCGCTGTCTGCTCCGCTCCTTCCCGCCGCTCTCCGTGTCGCGATGCTCCGTTCCGGAGCGGGGCTGCTGCCAGAAACGCGTTTGTTTCATCCATCGCTGAAGCCTGACTACTGGAGCTGGAGACGAGCAGCTGTCCTCTCCAATTCCAGCTGTTCTCGTCTCTCCCGTTGCCCTGCCTGGAGTCTGCTGAGACAAACTGACTAGAGAAAAGCCTCTTGGTTTCTGTCAAGACGCGTTCAAGATGTTGTGTTTTCACCCACCCACCTGCGGAACACCGTGGCTCTTTCTCTGCAATCAGATTTCTGGATCTCGGGACGGCGTACGGTTAAAAGCACGAGGTGGGAGCATCGGGCCGCAGCTCCGCACCGCGAGGCACTTCGGACCCCGGCAGCACTCGGAACCGTTCAGAGCGCAGAGCGGGGCTGCTAGGGGCGGAGCGTGAAGCGCAAACGGGCGTGGCTATGCAAATAGCGCAGTGCCCGAGGCATGCCGGATATCACCGCGCTAGCTGATAACAGCGGTAACTCGACCCGCGGATCTGCTCCGCAGGCATCGGTAGCTATTATCTGTCCTTTAACCACAAAGCCAGGGGAGAGCGCGAACGCAGTCCCCCACTACCACAAATTATGCAGTCGAGTTTCCCGCATTTGGGGAAATCGCAGGGGTCAGCACACCCGGAGTGCAGGGGATGAGCCTCGCCCTGGGAAAACCACCTGCCTGATCATGGTGTCTCCCCTGCCAGGTAAGTATGCTTTGCTCCTCCAACGCCCCGCTCCCCACGCCCCGCCACCAGCCCGTACCGCACGGCGCCCCGATTCTCGAACACCCTCCTCCCCGTGCTGAGGCGGCACTTCGCTCCCTGCTCCAAGATTCCCCCACGGAGGCGCACGTGGCGCCCACGGGGATCCACGCGCGTTGCGTTTCCCGGTTTGGTGCGCTCCCGTCATGCAGCGCGCGAACTGATTTGCATGACCCCTCGCCCTACAGCCCGCGCTCCCGTTCCTTTAGCGCCCCCTTTTCACGTTTATCCCTTCAAGGGGGGCGGGGCTCGCCGTCGGACCACGTGACTCGGCAGAGGGGCTGGGGCAGACGTGGCAAGCGGCGCGCCGGGCACGTGTCGTGGGGCTCAGCCAATCGGCGGGCGCGGTGTGCGCTCGCGCACTGCCGTCCCTTCCCGGCGCCGTGCGCTCCGCTTCCTCCGGCGGCGATGGCGGCGGTGAGCCCGGCCTCGGCGGGCAGCGGCCGCTGGGAGGTGGTTCGCAGGGGGCGGCGCCCCGCGGGACGGCCCCGGGATCCCCCCACGGTCTCCGCAGCGCCCATCGCCACCACCGAGACCCTTTTCGAGCTCGGCTTCGAGCGCGCCCCGCGCCGCGCGGGCCGGGAGGCGGCAGCCGAACCGCAGCAGCAGCAGCAGCAGCAGCAGCAGCAGCGGCGGCAGCAGCAGCCGGGAAAGGGATCTCGGAAGGCGGCCGGGGATGGCGGCTCCAGGCCCGGCCGGTTCCGCTCCCTGGAGGAGGCGCTCAAAGCCGTGAGTGGGGCGGGGGGGCGGCTGCGATGCGGGAGGGGCGGCCCGGCCCCACCCCCAGCATAGGGACGGCGCTGCCGTGGTTGTGTCTGATCGCTGCTGGCGCTTTCCTAAAGGCCTGGAATCATTTGGGTTGGAGAAGAGCTCTGAAATCCCCTCGTTTGACTCTAGCCCACACTGCCGTGCCCACTGAGCCTATCCTTCAGTGCCACAGCCCCGTTCTCTGATTGCCTCTATTGGACGGTGACCCCAGTGCTGCCCTGAGTTGGGCTGCACAGCTGCCAGCAGCCATTGAGTGCTGCTGCACCTCCTCAGCTCCTTAAGGCTGAGCTGTGTCATAGAATCACAGAACGGCCTGGGTTGCAAAGGCCCACAGTGCTCATCCAGTTCCAACCCGCTGCTGTGTGCAGGTCACCAACCAGCAGCCCAGGCTGCCCAGAGCCACATCCAGCCTGGCCCTGAATACCTGCAGGGATGGGGCATCCACAGCCTCCTTGGGCAACCTGTTCCAGTGCCTCACCCACTCCGAGGTCAGGCTTGTCATGCAGGCGATAGGCGATAGGCACGCTGCTTGTATTCCTCAGTGACCTTCCTTAGCTTAAAGAAAACACATTTGGAGCACAGAATGCAGCACATGGGGCGAGAAAGGGGCTGCATCCCTGGCCCCACGCATCTCAGAGCCACCTCTCATCACAGTTCAACGTGGCTGACCTGCAGAAGGAGCTGGACAAGAGCCAGAGCATGTTCCCAGAGAACCCCTCTGTCTGGGTGAAGGACCTGGCCGGCTGCCTCAACTACAAGCTGCAGGCTCCCAAGAGTGACCCAGCACTCAGCCAGCACACCCACGGTCAGTGCCTGTAATGGGAGGAGGTCACTGTGGCTCTGTGTGCTGCATGGCTCCTCTGTGGTGCTGTGTGTTGCAGGAATATAATATAGAGTTTAACTGATGCTGTGATATTTATCTTGCTGGGTATAGAATCATAGAATCACAAGGTTGGAAACGATCTGCAGGATCTTCTAGTCCAACCGTCCTCCCGCTACCGTTGCTACCACAAGCCTCTAAACCATATCTCGTAGCTCCTCAACCACATCTTTTAGCTCTTCAAGTCTTCCTTTTATACGTCACTCAGTGGCATAGCCTGCACAGCCTTTGCTCACTGAGTTCCTCTTCACCTGTTGTATTGCCCACAGATTATCCGTACTGTCTCGTGAGTAAAGAGCTGAAGAATGCCATCAGATCCCTGCTGGGAAAATCTTCTGGTGTGCTGGAGCTCTTCTTTGATCACTTAATTTATACCATGCTGCAGGAACTGGACAAGACCCCCGGTGAGCACACTTTCTGCAGAGCAGCCCGGTGCTGGTGGGGGTTCTGATGTGGGAATGATTTTGCTGCTTGTTGCCTGTGCTGAGAACAACACTTTGTGTGGGGTGAGGAAGGAAGCTTGTGGGCTCAGGCACAGTGGGTGCAAGATGGGAGCCCCGCAGTGTTGTTATGGAGAACTTGGTGCAGACGCTTTCTGGGGGTGCTTTGGGTCAGTGTCACCACAGTCACCATCCCAGTGCCTGGTGGGATTCACCTGGTGCCTGGAGCAGCTGCAACATTCCTAGGAGCGCCGTGAGGCTGTGGATTATTACCAGGAAGAAGCTTAACCTCATCCCTTTGCTGTTCCAGGGGAGTCTTTACACGGGTACAGGATCTGCATCCAGGCCGTGCTGCTGGAACGGCCTAAAATTGCCACCGCCAACCTGGGCAAGGTGAGCTGGGCGCACGCTGTCCACCTGAGATCCCAGGCAGTTCAGCTCTGCCCGCTTCCATGAGTCCCTGTGGCCTTGTCCCCAGGTGTCACAGCATGGTGCTGGGGTGGGACAGATGGACAGTAGGCCTGCTGAGCCACCCCTCTTTGCTTCCCCAGTACCTGGAGCTGCTGCGCTCACACCAAAACCGGCCGGCCAAGTGCCTGACCATCCTGTGGGCTCTGGGGCAAGCTGGCTTCACTGACCTGGCTGAGGGCTTGAGAGGTGAGAGCTCATGTGCCCTGATGGGATCCTGTCTGCCTGGAGTGGCTGCCGTGAACTGTTCATCCATTGTGTGCTGTGTCTGTGTCTGTGTCTTGGCCGTATACGTCAAACATGAGCTGCCACAGCCATCAGGGAGGGAGCGTGTTTATAGATGTGTAAACACACAGAGCTATTCAGTGTCAGCACTGTAAACATTGGGAAGTGCTTTATTATTTTCCTGCTGCTGGAGCTCAGCCAGCAGAGCCCATTGCTGACGGTGGAGCATGCCTGGCTCTCATGCTGGCTGCAGTCCCGGTGCTGCCAGCACTGGGCTGATGCTTCTCTTCACAGTCTGGCTTGGCGTGATGCTCCCTGTGCTTGGCATCAAGGCACTTTCCCCATATGCTGTCTCCTACCTGGACCGCCTGCTGACGTGAGTTATCCCTCGGGTTTGTGTCTGTTTGGACAAGGGCAGAGCCTGCTGGGCTGCAGTGCCTCTGTGTCTGTGTCTTGCTCACGGAGCGTGTGTATGCTTCTCTGCTTTGCAGGATGCACCCAAATCTGACCAAAGGCTTTGGCATGATTGGACCCAAGGATTTCTTTCCCCTCCTGGACTTCGCCTTCATGCCCAACAATTCGCTGTCACCTAGGTAGGGCTGTGCCACCGGCAGCATGCAGAGCAGTGTGGGGACAGTGTCCCAGTCCCGATGCTTCCCCACACTGTGTGGGACGTGCAGCTCCTGGTGCCCCAGGGGGAGGCACAATGAGATTGAGGGGGCATCATGAGATGGCAGTAGGGAATTTGGGGGGGGTGTGAGAAACCCATTGGCACCAGGGAGGGAGGAGCTGGCAGCCAGCTGTACGTGATGGAGGCAGCTGTCCCCAGCCAACCCTTAGTGTGCCTCTGCAGCATTCAGTGAGCACATCAGGTGCTCCTGGTGCTGGTCAGGGAGCTCAGAGCAGGGCGAGATGTGAACGTTGCACTGTTCTGTCACACTGTGGGCTCAGGAACAGCTCAGACAAGTCACGCTGCAGGGAGCACGTGGGGCAGTGTGGGGATGGGAATGGGACCAGCGGCCACAGGCAGCACCTCTCCCAGCCTGCAGGAGCAGCTGCGGCGGCTGTACCCACGCCTGAAGGTGCTGGCGCTGGGCGCGAGGCCGGAGACAACACTGCATACCTACTTCCCCTCCTTCCTGTCCCGAGCCACACCGAGCTGCCCGCCTGCCATGAAGAAGGAGGTGAGAAGGGGGCTGGGGGTGCCGGGTCTTTGTGCATCCTGTGGGCGGTGTGGCAGCAGCAGGTACGGTTCTCCCTGCAGCTCCTGACCTCTATGAGCCAGTGCCTGAGCTTGGACCCGCTGAGCTTCAGTGTCTGGAGGCAGCTCTACACCAAGCACCTCTCCCAGTCCAGGTGGATGCAGCGGGCAGCGCTCCAGGCTTTTGCTGTGTCTGGCCTGGCTGCTGGGTGTGCTTTGGCACAGTGTTGGGGAGCGCACATGTTGCTGCTGAGTGCCAACCGTGCCCTGCTTTCCTTCTGCCCCCCAGCTTGCTCCTGAATCATCTGCTGGAGTCCTGGGACAGTGGCAACAGGAAGGTAGGAGTGAGCCATGAGGGGCTGGGCACCCGATGCTGAGCTCCCTCCAACCATTGCAGCTCCACTGTCTCCAGGCACACCAGGCCCTGCAGGAGACCGTTCACTCCTTCAAGGTGACCAACGAGGAACTGGTTGCAAAGGGACCTGGCAGCCAGCAGGATGTGGCTGCATGTGACACTGCCTGCAAGGTGAGCCAGGGCCGGTGCCTCTGTGCCAGGCAGAGGCTGCTTGCTCCCTACCAGGGCAGTGGGCATGGTGTGACAGGGCCGTTTTGCTACTTCATAGCTGCTGCTGCAGAAGATGAAGGGCTGGGGCTTCTACTGGTCCCGCCTGCTGCTCATCCTGCTGGTGTTTGCTGCCGGTTTCCTCATACACGACATTCAGACACACGGCTCTCTGCAGGGTATGGCCAGGCAGTGGGAGCCTCCGTGTCTCCCCTGAGTTGCCCCAGAGAGAAACGACACAGGGGCAGAGCTGCGTTGTGCTCAGGTGCCACTTTCTTCTTGCAGCCTCTGCCTCTGCCCACGCGCTCCGTTCCTCCGGCATCCTGCCCGCCTGGCAGCACGCCTGGCACAAAGCGGCCCACTTCTCACTGGAGGGCTACAGGTCAGTGTCCCCGGCGCTCGGCAGCGCCGCAACTGAGAGGTGTGAAGTGGCTAACGCAGCACAAAGTGATTTCTGTAGGGAGCCCTTTTTGCTCGGGAAGCGTTCCCCGGGTGCTCCTGGAAGTGCTTTTCCGCTCAGCTCTTGAGTTCTCCCGTTCCCTTGGCTGCGGCGGCGGTTTCCAGGTACACGTATGCTCCCGTGGCTTTGCCGTCGGTGCCGGCGCGCCCGGCGCGGCCTCAGCCTGCGTTCCCTTGCAGGTGGTTGGAGAGGACGCTGCCACCCTACTGCTCCTGTGCCGCGGCTCTCCTGCAGCAGATGCTGCAGCTGCTCTGGGCGAAGGCGGCCGAGCTGACCCTGCACGTCAGCAAGCAGTGCTTCTCGTTCCTCTCCTGGGCTGGGGAGTGCCTGCTCTGGCTGCTGGAATGGGTGAGGATGGCAGGGGATGAGCGGTGCCCAAGGGTGAGGGTGTGTGGGGTGCTCTGCTCCCAGCCTGAGCCTCTGATCTCTTCTCTCTCCCCGCAGCTCCAGTCCCGGGTCCCCGAAGCTGTTTGGCAGATTGCTGAGTGCATGCGGGAGCTGCTGCTCTTCCTGCTGCGGAGCTGCCTGCTGCCGCTGCTGGAGCACGTGTCTGCTGCGCTGCAGCAGGCATGGAAGCACTGTGTGGACGCCTGCAAGTGAGCACCGCCATTTGGTGCCATACGTGGTGCTGTGCTGCTGCCCCGCTCCTGGACTGGGCACGTTGGGGCTGTGCGGCTCAGTAGGGTGGGGGGATGCTGCCCGTGGCTCAGGTGTTGCCAGGCATGGAACCATTCTCCTCTCTTTGGCAGTGGAGAAGTGTCGTGGGACTGTGTGAGGGAGCACCTGAGCAGCTTTACCTATTCCTCCTGGCTCTACCTGCAGAAAACAACCCTTGCCCTCAAGAACTGGGCCCTGGCCATGATTTCTGGACATTGAGCTGCTCCCAGGGTGGGGGGATGCGGTGCAGCTGCCCCTGCTGCTGCTGCCCCCAGGGATTGCCCCCCTCTTCTCCCTGTGGGGTCACTGTGGGTGTCCTGGCGACGTGCAGTCAGGTGTCACTGGGTGTCCTCAGCTGCGGGTTGAGAGGTGTTGGGTTATTTCCCCCCCCAACTGGGGCAATGAATGAGCTCAGCACCTCTGGTCTCTGTGTGCCTTTGTCCTGCGCGGTGGCTGTAAGAGGGAAGGTGCGGGGGGAAAGAGGGTGGTCGGAGGGGAAGGACGGAGCGAAGGACTGATGGATGGAACCACGGTCACTGTCTCGTTCCTTGTCCTGGCGCTGGTGCAGATAGCAATGAGAGTGGGGGTGGATTTAGGTCCGCCTTGTCAGCGGTAGTATAAAGGCGGTGGCGCAACAGCGGTTTCGCAGCATGGGGGATTAGCTCAAATGGTAGAGCGCTCGCTTAGCATGCGAGAGGTAGCGGGATCGATGCCCGCATCCTCCAGTTTTGCTGGAGCCGCGCGTACATACACGCACTGCGCCTGCGGGCTCCGCCGTGTGTACGCGGCTGTTCGCGTGTGGGTGGGTGCGCGCGTGTGCGCGGCGGGCGGCCGGAGAACGGGGGAGCGGCGGGGAGGTGGCCAGCCGGAGGGGGCGTAGTCAATGGCGGGAGGCCCAGGCTCGCGCGTCGCCGTTGCCGTGGCGCCGTCCAATGGGCGGCCGCGTTGCTGGGGGGGCGGTGTCCAACGGGCGGGCGCGTTGCTGCGGAGCGGCGGTGGCGGCGGCGGGGCGGCCATGGAGGTGCGTTGCGGCGGGCTGCTCTTCAGCTCCCGCTTCGACTCTGGCAACCTGGCGCGGGTGGAGCAGGTGGGGCCGCCCGAGGGCCGCGCCGCGCCCGGCGGCTCCGCGCTGCCAGCCGCCGACTACGAGTTCAACGTGTGGACGCGGCCCGACTGCGCGCACACCGAGTACGAGAACGGCAACAGGTAACGGGCGGGCGGGGCACCGCGCAGCTCCGTGCAGCTCCATGCAGCTCCATGCAGCTCCGCGCCCGCCCTCCGCAGGTCGTGGTTCTACTTCAGCGTGCGCGGCGGCGCGCCCGGGAAGCTGATCAAGCTGCACATCCTCAACATGAACCGGCAGAGCCGGCTGTACGCGCACGGCATGGCGCCCTTCGTGCGCACCGTGCCCGGGCGGCCCCGCTGGGAGCGCGTCCGCGAGCGGCCCTGCTTCCAGGTGCGGGGAAGGGCCGGCTGGGGCGGTCGGGAGCGGCTGTGCATGGCTGTGTGCTGTCTGCTCAGCTCCGCTTTGTGTCTCTCCCAGATGGTGGAGGCCCAGTTTGTGCTGTCCTTTGTGCACCGCTTCCTGGAGCACCGCGGCACCACCACCTACTTTGCCTTCTGCTACCCTTTCTCCTACACGGAGTGCCAGGAGATGCTGGCGCAGCTGGACAGCCGCTTTGAGGAGTGCCGGCACATGGCTCCCAGCAGGTGCAGGGATGGGGCACGGCGCTCCCTGCTCCCGGCTCGCGCTGCCCTGCATGTGCTTGCAGGGAAGGCTGGGGGGCCGAGGGCCGAGCCCTGCGGCTCGGAGCTTCGCTTCTGGGAGGGGCTGGGCTGGAACCGCTTCCCTTGGAAAGGAGAAGGGGTTCTCAGAGGGCTGAGCGCTGTGCCGGGCAGAGCCTCGCTTCCTTTCTGCTTCCTGCCTGCGGGAAGGTTTGCTTGTCTCGGTTTCACCGCTCTGATTCTGATTCCCGTCCCAGCGAGGCTCAGCTGCAAGTTGTGACGGCCGGCCCTGAGAGCCCGGCGGTGAGGATTTGGGCCGACGTCCCCTGAGCTCGCCCCTCTCCCCACAGCCCCCTGGACTCAGTCTATTACCACCGGGAGCTGCTGTGCCACTCCCTGGACAAGCTGCGCGTCGACCTGCTGACCGTCACCTCCTGCCACGGCATGCAGGAGCAGCGTGAGCCGCGGCTCGACAAGCTCTTCCCAGACACGGCCACGCCACGGCCGCGCTGCTTCACGGGCAAGAGGGTGAGCAGCTGCTCGGGGACCCCAGAGCGTGCCTGCCACCCCAAATGGGGGCTCAGCATCGGAGCTACACGGGGCCCGGGTGGGAGCGCTGCCTGTCACACCTCTGCTCGCCCCCAGGTGTTCTTCCTGAGCAGCCGCGTGCACCCTGGTGAGACGCCCTCCAGCTTCGTCTTCAATGGCTTCCTGCACTTCATCCTGCGCGAGGAGGACCCCCGTGCCCAGATGCTGCGTCGCATGTTCGTCTTTAAGCTCATTCCCATGCTGAACCCAGACGGAGTGGTGCGAGGTCACTACCGGTGAGCGGCTCTCTCTCACTCTGGGGTTCATACAGCCCAGCTGTTTGCAGGAGGAACTGTGCTGACGGGCTTGGGGCTCAGCGCAACGTGGCTCTTTGCAGGACTGACTCGCGTGGTGTCAACCTGAACCGACAGTACCTCAACCCCGATGCCGAGCTGCACCCCGCCGTGTACGGGGCCAAAGCAGTGCTGCTGTACCACCACGTGCACAGCCGTGTGCTGCCGGGCAGCCCCGACTGGAGGACCTACGTCTCGCCGCTCAGCACCAGTGTGCTCAGCACCAGATCTTCCAACCATTCCGTCCCAGAGGCAGCGCTGTCGGAGCTGGAGAAAACCAACAACCTCCGCAACGCTTCCAGCACTTGGAGTCAGGGCCTCGACCCTTCTCAGAAACCCCAGGTGGACCTGATCCTCCCTGCACGGCGCTGCGAGGAGGAAGCTGGGCAGCCGCTGCCGCTTCCCGAAGCCATCCTGCCCCAGCACAGCGGGCTGGCTTACTATGTCGACCTGCACGGGCACGCCTCCAAGCGTGGCTGCTTCATGTATGGGAACAGCTTCAGCGATGAGAACGATCAGGTGAGGTTAGGAGCTCTGCCTCGGGGCTGTGGTCTCACTGCTGTGGTCTCACAGCACTGGGACTTGTAGCCGGTCCTAGCCCTGGCGTGGGAAGGATGGGAGCTGCCCCTGCGCCCCATAAAGGATGAGGGCAGTGTGGTGAGCTGTGCCTGCTGCTGGCTGTGGGCAGGGGATGCTTGCCCTGCAGGGATACCGCATCCCTGGGGTGTTGCTGGGACACAGCATCACCTCCTGCCCTCTGCGCCGCAGGTGGAGAACATGCTGTTCCCTAAGCTCATCTCCTTGAACTCACCTCACTTTGACTTCACGGGCTGCAACTTCTCAGAGAAGAATATGTATGCCAAAGACAAGCGGGACGGGCAGTCCAAGGAGGGCAGTGGGCGTGTGGCCATCTACAAAGCGCTGGGGATCATCCACAGGTAGGCAGAGCTCCGCATCGCGCTGCGCTGCACCAACCAGTGTCAGCCAGCAGATGGATCTGGTCTAGGCCCAGGCAAAGAGCTGGGTTTGCTGGAGGCAGATGTGGGAGCTCCGACACAATGCAGGTGCATCCTGCCCGCATCCTCTCTGCTTTTTCTCCTTGCCTCTCTGACCCTCCTGCAGCTCTTCTGACTTTCTACAGCGTGGCTTCGGCTGGGAAGAACCACAGAGGTCACCCAGTTCTTGTCCAAGCACTTGCGGTGCATGTTTGCTGCTTTCCAGACAGAGAGCACTTTCCCAAATGGACATGTTTGCATTTAGCTGTGATTCAAACTCATTGTAGAGGTTCAGTTTTGCAGATCTCACGCACGAGATTGCTGTGGTATGCAAACTGAGGGCATTCTTCTGCTCTGTAGCAGCTGCATGCCTCTGTTTGGCAGCAATGTGATATTTTTGGACTGTTTCTGTTGTGGTTGCTGGGAACAGAGGGAGGGCTGCTGGGAACCACTAGGGAAGGGCAGTAAGAAGTCGGTTGTGCAACACCTCCTTAGCAGATCCCCCAGTCCCCACGTATGATAGCTAATGAACCTTTCTCAGTGCATCACCTGGGGCAGCCCACCAATCCTCTGCACTTGTCCCAGGAAGGCGTTCCCCAGCACCCTTAGAGAGTAGTGACTTCTCCTGGCACAGAAGCAGTGCTCACTGACTGTTCATATCACAATTATTTTTCTCGGTCGCTCCTGAGCATGAATTAATTTCCTGTACCCGAGATACAAAGAGTACTGCCTGTGGCCACGTTAATCATTGATCTGAAAAGCCATTACTTCTACATGCAGCTTGGAAACGCTGAGGGCAGAGAAAGGTCGACTGTTGAAACAAAGAACAATAACATGGCAAATGGAAAAGTTCTTGCAGGCTTCTTGAGAATATAGAGTGAGGCAGAGGATGAAGGAAAGCACTATGAAGATAGGTTCAGGGAACTGGATTTGTTTGGCTTGGAAAAGAGAAAGCTCCAGGGAGACCTCGTGGCCTTCCAATACTTGAAGGGAGCGTATGAACAAGAGGGAGAACGGCTGTTTGTGAGGGTGGATGGTGATAGGACAAGGGGGAATGGTTATAAACTGAGACAGGGGAGGTTTAGGTTGGATATCAGGAGGAATTTTTTCCCCCAGAGGGTGGTGAGGCACTGGAACAGGTTGCCCAAGGAGGCTGTGGATGCCCCATCCCTGCAGGCATTCAAGGCCAGGCTGGATGTGGCTCTGGGCAGCCTGGTCTGCTGGTTGGTGACCTGCACACAGCAGGGGGTTGGAACTGGATGAGCACTGTGGGCCTTTGCAACCCAGGCCAGTCTATGATTGGCTGGGAGCCTCACCATCAAGTCATTTTGTTCCCTGCTATGAGAAGAGCCACGCTCATTCCTCTGTACCTGCTCAAAAAGGAAACATAGCCATGACCTCCTTACAGCAGAGATTGGAGCAGCAGAGAGTGGCACAACAGCACTGGTGTAGAGGGACGTGGTGTAATGGTGGCACATGGGAGGTCAGGCTGACGGTCCTTGATCTTGCAGCTCTTTTCCAACCCTAACAGGTGTAGGATTCTGTCAGGGGAGGCCCCATGTGCTGCCCCTGGGGCGCAGAGGAGGAGGAGGAAGTGCCACAATTGTTTGCTGAAGTCTGGGATTTGTGTTTGCATCGCTGCTCCCTGTGGTGCAACAAGCTCAAAGCTGCATGGAAGGAGAGAATTCCTCTGTGTTGTGTCAGGAGCCCTGTGCCCACCCCCAGCCCTGCTGTTTGCCTGTGGTTTTTCATATCTGCTGTCCTGTTCTTGAGCAGAATAAACCACCTCCTGGAGCCCTCCTGTCCTGGCTGAGGCCCGAGGCCTCCCCTGTATGGATGCTGAAGTCTCTCCCTATCCCAGGGCTGTGCTCGTGCTGTCTGCTTCACTCTCTTCCATAGGCATCCCCAGCTCCTGTGTTGTGGCCATCGTTACTAACGGCCGCGTTCCCTTCTGTCCCACAGCTACACACTGGAGTGCAATTACAACACGGGCCGCTCGGTGAACAGCATCCCTCTGGCCTGCCACGACAACGGGCGCGCCAGCCCCCCGCCGCCACCCTCCTTCCCCTCCAAATACACCGTGGAGCTGTTTGAGCAGGTAAGAGCCGCCGCGGGGCAGTGGGGCAGCACGATGGGGCCACGTCTCACTGCATCCCCTCACCCTGCAGGTCGGTAGGGCGCTGGCCGTGGCTGCACTGGACATGGCAGAGTGCAACCCGTGGCCGCGCATCGTGCTGTCGGAGCACAGCTGCCTCAGCAACCTGCGGGCCTGGATGCTGAAGCACGTGCGTGGCATGCGGGGCAACGGAGCCTGCGTGCAGAAGAGAGAAGGCCGCAGCCCCCCCAGGAGTGCCGGGTGAGGGTCGGGGAGTTGTACTGTGAGGGCAGGGCCGAGCCACCGGCTCACACTGAGGTCCGCTTCTCCTCCCCTGGCAGCGGGCTCCCGACCTCAGCCTCAGAGAGCGCCCTGTCCCGCGTGCGCAGCTTCAGTCACGGCAGCCAGCAGGACTCGCCCCGCGTCAGAGCCTCGCCCAGCTTCCCAGGTGCTGCTGTGGATGCTCCGGGCCCGCAGAAGGGTGACACGCAACCCCCGGCACCGCTCCGAGGTAAGGCGGGCTGGTGGCTGCTCGCACACATGCTGCAGTGCCTGCCGAGTTGCTGTGCTGAGCCGCAGCCCTGACTCGAGGAGCGCTCGGTGACGGCGTGACGCTTCGGTTTGATGTGACAAAAGTGGGTTTGTGTGGAAGAATTGTGTGAGAGCGGCCGCCCCGTCCTCTCGGAAGGGCCCTGGACATGTGGCAAGAGACCCCTGATGGCAGCATCCTACGGGGCTGCAGGGCCAGCACAGCGCCCAGCCCCACATCTGGGCCACGCTCGCTGCCCACTGCCACGGCCCTGCCGTGCCCTGGGCTTGAAGCATCACTGTGTGGAGGGCAGAGCAGTGTGAAAACCTCTTACCCCGCAGCCTCTGCCACCCAGATCGTTCCTGGGGATACACCAAAGTGCCTTTCTGTACCCCAGGCAGTGGCTGCGGGCGCGTGCCAAGCTGCCCGCACACCTGGGAGGCACAGCCACAGCCCTGCCACATGGTGACAAAGCAAGGCGGTGGCCATACCCTTCACTGCAGGGCGCTGCCCAGAGGTGGGCACAGCCGCAGTGCTGCAGGAAGGCTGCAGCAGTATGCAGTACAGCAGAGCTTGGCTGCAGCCCCAGCAGTGGGGCTCAGAGCAGAGGGCTGCGGGTGCTGCTGAGTGTGTGTGGAGCTGTGCTCGGGTCCAGGCTTTGTGCCGCCGTGTTTCTGAGTGTCGGTGTGTCCCTGTGCTTCACGTGTGTTGCACGCATCACTTCCTCCTCCATGGTTGTTGCTTCCTGGTGTTCTGTAGTGGTTCTCCTCTGCCTCGAGAGCACAGCAGGGAGGAAATAAAAGGTTTGTGTTCCCGTGGGCACGTTGTGGCGTCTGTTCCTTCTGCCGTGCGCACGCTGCCCGCCCGCAGCAGCCTGCAGGGCTCCAGAGCCAGCACGACGGTGGGGGGACGCTGGGGGGCCCGGCTGCCCTGCTCTTGGGGCAGGGATGGTGGCATTATGCAGCAGCTCCAGCACGGTGGCAGCAGGGCACCATTCCAGCCATGGTGCGGCTTCGGTGTTTGTGTAGCATCTGTTGGAAGCGTGGCTGTAGGCTGCCCGACCCCTAGGCTGTGCTGTGTCAACCCCTCACTATCCACCCTCCTCTCTGCCATCCCCTTGTGGTACTGAGATGCTGCCGCTCCCTTTTCCTTCCCCATGCAGCTGGAAAACAGAAGCACTCAGATGCAGTGGTGTGGGGCAGCACGGGATGAGGCTGCTGCCCTGGCACATCTCCTTCCTGTGCACACAGCTGCATGCTGCGCGGAAAGGGGCCAGACGCTGCCGCCTGCACAGGACGTTGGGGGTCAGGGCTCAAGCCTGGCTGCACTGCCTGTCCTATGCCACAAGTTACAGGGACATCCTGCGCCACTGGCCCTGACCCCAAGCAGGCTCATCCCCTCCTCAGCTGCCTCCTCAGAGTCAGATGAGCTCCTGCTCTGGTCCAGCTGGACTTGAGGGGACCTCATTTCAGAGCTCTCTGGTGCTGTGCTGAACCCAAGGTTGAGTACTGCTGCTTGCTGCCATTGCCCCTGAGCACCAGCACGTGGGGTTTGGCTGCTGCACACCCAGAACTCCCCTCTAGCTGCAGAGACCCACACAGCTTAGGGCCTACTCTTGCTCAGGCTTCCTGCTTTCTCAGCTTTCTGTGCCATCTTCAGAGTCCCCATGCTGTTTCCTTTTCCCCAGCTCCCAGGGCCAGCCCACCCGTTATCTCAGGAGCTGAGTCCTGCAGACTTCAGCACTGCTGTTGCTGCTCATCCTCTGTCCCCTGCAGGCACTCATTAGCAGCCCTCCTCCGTCATGCCTGCCGACATGCAGCGCAGGCTCGGGGCTTTGTCTGTGGCCACAGTCTGTCCCTGCGGTGCGGGGCCGCGTGGCTGTAGCTCTTTATTCTCACTCCAGCATCCTGTTTCCCATTAGCTGCGCCGTGCTGGTTACCGCCCTCCTGCTGCTGGCGTTCCAGCAGCTGCTAAAGCTTTGGCAGCAGCCAGTCCGGCTCTGCTGCCAAAAAGTCCTCCAGGCACAGGGGCTGATCCTGTGCCAAAGCCATGCCTGTGCCTCGTGCCGGGGGATCCGTGCTTGCCTCACGCTCTTTGCGTGGCGGGGGGGGATCTGGCCTCAGTGCCGTGCAGCACCTCATGTAGCTCTCTGCAATGAGCCGTCTCCTTTGTCCCACAGGGTTCCTGCCAGCAGGTGCCTGTGTGGAGTCAGCGTTGGGTGCCAGCTACAGACTGCGGGAGGCTCCGCACCGTGGTGGCAGCAAGCCGGGGGCTGTGCACAGCACCGTGATGCTTCAGGTATGGCTGTGCAAAGGGGGAGCGGGGGCCTGGCCACTTCTCTGGGGGTCTGAAGGATGTGGGGCTGGAGCATGGCACGGCCACGGTTGCACCGGAAAGGGACGGGCCCTAATGTTCTGCTCTGTTCCCTGCAGGTGTTCCCAAAGAAGCTGAATGCCAGGAGGGCCCTGGAGCAGCCCGGGTAGGTGCTGGCATGGCCATGGCGCTGATCCAGCCCACAGGAACCCCATCCCCATCCCAGACCCGGTGCACCGCTAAGCCCTCACTATCCTGTGCGGTTCCCTGCAGCCCGGGGGGGCTCACCACCCGCCCCAGCAGGATCCCAGTGCGGAGGAAGGCGGCAGCAGCCCTGAGCTTTCCTGTGCTCAGCTCCAGCAGCTCTACAGCCCTCCAAGCCCCGACACACAGCTATGCTGCCCTCTGCACCACGCGGTCTACCCCAGACAGTGCTGTCCCGACTGCCCTGGTACAGGAGGGCAGCAATGCAGCACCAGCCCCAACCCCACTCCCCGTACCTCCAGCACCCTGCCTGGAGACCCCAGTCTCTGGCAGCAGGGCACCCAGCGTGGAGCAGCTGCTGGGCGAGGGTCTGCGCCCCCAGGTACAGCCCAGGGGGTGGCAGGGGAACGTGGCACATGCGGGGGCCTCCATCTCTGGCCTCTCCCCACCCGCTGTCCTGCTTTGCAGTGCCCACCCAGCCTCACCGCCGCCCGCCCCGTGCTGCGCTCCTACCGGCAGCTCTTCTCCTTCTGTGCTGAGGCCTGAGCGTGGCCACAGGCACCGGACCTGCACGTGCCACGGCTGTGTGCCCAACCCAGGAGCCACCGCACGGCGAAGCCGCAGCCGCCAGCAGCGCTGCATTCGGTGCCATGCGCGGGGTTGGGGGCCACCCTGCTCAGCCCCGAGGCCCCGAGGCATTTTTACATAACACGGTTTTGTCTCATGTCGTGTTTCTGTCAAAGCCCGGTCAGAGACGGCACGGTGGTGAGGGGTGTCACGGGGTGAGGGTGGGGGGGGATTCCACAGCCGCCATGGTGCGGTGCTGCTCTGTGCAGTGCAGGCCTGTGGAGAAAGAGCACTGTAAGCAAGGGTGGCACAGGAATAAGGATGGGGATGGGATGGGAATCGGGATGAGGACAAGATGGGAGCATGTGTGATAGGAATAGGGATGGGATGAGGATGGGGACAGGGCTGGGCACCAGGATGGGGATAAAGGGAAGATCAGGATGGGAATGGGGATGAAGATGGTGACAGAACGTAGATGGTGACAAAGAAAAGGTGTGCGATTGGAACGGGGACACAATGGAGACAGGGATGGAGACAGGGTGGAGACAAGGACAAGATGGGGGCATGTGTGACAGGGATGGGGACAGCATGGATGAGAACAAAGATGACAAGGTGAGCAGGGATCAGGATGCGGTGACCACGACGGGAATTGGGATGGGAACAAGGGACGGGACTGGGGACCGGAAGGGAGACAAGGGTGGCGATGAAGATGGAGATAGGGACGGGGACAAGGGCGAGGGGAAGGCCGGGGATCAGGGAGGGGACGGGGACCAGGGCGGGGCGCCGCAGTACCGGTGCCGCTCGGGGCTCGCTCCCGTTTCACTCCTGCCGCTTGGGGTTGTTAACGGCCACGTAGTGGTAGAGCACGACGAGCAGGAAGAGCGACACGCCCAGCATGTTTGCGAAGATGGCGAGCTGCACGTCCGTCACCATCCTGCGGGCAGCGGCATGGATGCGGGATCCCATCCAGGCATCGGGCCCCGACCCCCCATCCGGTACCGGAACCCACAACCCGCCCCAGGGCCTTCCCCTCCCGCCGCTCACGCGATGCCGCTCGGCTCCGCTCCGCCGCCGCTTCCACGTCTCCGCGCGCCCCGCACCACTTCCGGCCGCCACTTCCGGCCGCGGGGCACTTCGGGAGAGCGGGGGGCGGGGCGCGATGGAGCGGCGGTCTCGTGACGTCACTACTCCGCCGTGATGTCACGGCCGCGGGCTCGCAGCCAGCAGCGTCCCACGCGGGCCTCGCCCCGACGGGCGGCGGCAGCCAAATATAGCGCGGGGCTGGGCGGGGCCGGGGGGCGCCTCCAGCCGCGGGGCTCCGCGCCCCGAGCCGTGACGTCACCGCGGGGTCGGGGAGGCGAGGCGTGACGTCACGGTCAGCCGGCGCCCGGGGGCAGTGCGGTGTCACGGCGGGGCCGGGGCCGCCGGTGACGTCATGGCGGGGTCACCGCGGGGACGTGGCACCGCGC